ATTGATTCCAGGAGGAGAGTTTTTCAGCCAATACGTATATTTCAGGAATCGTGCAAGTAGCATCTATGCAAAATACCAGCCACAAAGATGTTTGCTTGGAGAAAACGTTTGTTGTAATACTTTGGAGAATCCCTGGACGGTCAGACATCTGTGTCAGCATTTTCCAACAACATTACCGAGGAGATTGAATTCTGACAACATTTCATGTTATAGAGCAGCCAGGCTGGCATGGGCAGAGGTTGGAAATGATAATAACTCAAGTCATCAGGAGTGAAGCAGTAACCAGTTAGTTGGGGTGCATGTGGTTGGAAAAATGGACATGTCCTAAAGCTATTTACTACCTTGCTTCCACCATAGTTATCAGTAAATCACAGAGAAACCAAAACATTTTGGAGATGTGCTGAAATATGCCTGGGCAAACCTTTCAGCATCCTTTAATCCATTTCTGCTGCTTGGATCTTTTCCCTTCCTTTTTCCTTTTAACTCCCCCCTTCCCTATCCTTGTCACTTGTGTTCCATTACGTACACATTTCTGGCTGATTTTGCCTGCTTAGGCCTCATCAGTTTTCTCCTTTGCTCACTTCGGCTTTCCCTCAAACCACTGAACCCCTACCTCCAGCCTGTCATGCTATGTACCCTCTACAAAGGCAGGAAGTCTCACATTTTTGGCATCTTCAAATCTCATACTCACTAGTATATCTCAGCTGGAGTCCAAATGCATTATCACTGGACACTAGTGACTGCAACAGCCTTGTTGTGGACTCAATAACTCATTGAAGGAAACCGCACCATAACTGTGGGCAAGATGTACTTTGAACTAGATTCAGAAAGAGTACTTAACATAACCTTAGAGAATGGCTATAGTTTATATCAAAGTTTTGGATGATCTGAAGCAATCTGCCCATTCTTACTGCTCAGCAGAGCACATTTGTAGTACCTGGGTATGTTCATTCAGCATATGTACATACATGCATGCAAGCACACATGCACATTCTCCTTCAGCAAGTATCATCCAGTAAGTTGCCTGCACAGAGGTAGATGGAGTCAACAAAACTCTGCTTTCCCAAGGTGGAAAAGATACCTACCATCTGAAATTCCATGTTATAAACTGAGGATAGAGAAACAGGCATTACAATAATTCTCATGCCCTTTGTGGGGAGGACACTACACACTAAATATCCCTCCAGTTCTATTTTAGCTAATAAACTCTTGTTCTCTACTATGCCATAAAAATATTCCAGTACAAATAACCCAGTCTAGGCAGGGCATCTCTTCTTAGAATATTAAGAGCAGATTGTCAAGAAATCAAGATTATCAAAGGGAAGCTGAACATTTTCCAGTGCTCAAGAGCTTTAACTACTGTATCACATTAAGTCATATTCTGTTCCTAGTTAAGTCCTGTACATTAACTCTAAAACAAACAAACAAAAAACCTACACCATGTATATTGAATAAGGCACTTTTGCCCACCTACAAAAAGCTTGAAATTGTGGCAGATTTGGAAATGTGATAAGTTGAAAAAACTTCCATTTTAAAGCAGCTGAAACCCCAGACTTAACCATGTACACACAATTTATTAGATTTGGCAGGATAATGATCTTAATACAGGAAGAAATTTGGCCAATTTTAACATTTTGGCCACCACCTTTTTCTTATTTGGGCAAATGGCTCCATAGAAAGGGCAGAAAAAAATAGTGCAAAAAAATTAGACCTGTATTTTGTATGTCTGCTTAAAAAGGGGGGCTGTGTATGCAAAATGTGGTCTGTGAGCAAACAGTCTACAAATACGACCCTTCATACGTGTTTTCAATTTAAAAATAACTGAAGAGGTCTTTGTAGGCTTTCTGCTTTATCATTAGGGGCATGTACAGAAGATCTTTGCTACTTATGAGAGTGGAACAGGATTTCAGGTGAATGAGTTTCTATCAGATAACATACTAGTTTTTAATGAAGTATTCCTAGTAAGGGACAAAGTGTGTCTTCACACAGTTCCCAAACAAAATCTGAATTTATAGATCCTCTGGGTGGAGCCTAGTGCTTAAAGCATTCATGTCTGTCAGTAGCTAGTCAAACTTCAGAGCAATTTTTATTGTTCAGGCTAGAAAAATCCAATGCTGCAATGTACATCTAAATGCTGAAGGAAAGGACTGCATCACATTATCTAAAATCATTTCTGCTGAACAGAAAAAAAATCCCTTGGTAATATTTGCTTGTAAATTTATCTTCTGCTCGCTTTTTGAAAAAAGTACCCAACATGTTATATTACAGCAGAGGTGTCCAAGATATCACGCACAGGCTGAATCCAGCCCATGCAGCCCTATTATCTGGCCTGCAATGCTGCCTTGTGGGTCTCAGACTGGACCTGCATACTGCATGTGGGGTACACCAGACTGGAGTGTGGCGCTAGTCTGGTGTGCGGGACCAGTCCAGATGATATGCTGCTAGCCGGACTTGGGGCTAGGCCAGGGCACATACTGCCTATGGTACCATGCTGAACTGGCTTTGCATGCTTGATCCAGTACAGAGGGCCAGTCTGTGGGCCTTATCCAACCAGAGGACTGCCAAGCACCACTTATCTGAGTTTGACAAAAGTTACAGTAGTCATCTCTTCAACATGACTCAACTTGGACTAACCACCAAGATGAACTGTAGTCTGCTGATTTGTATGTAGACAAAAAGGTAACGTGCATCATTTTGGCAAAACACAAAGGCACAGACAGAAGTGACAATTTTCGCCTGAGTGGAGGGAGTTTGGTTTGGGATTTTTTGAGCCAGTGCTGGAGGGTGGGATGGGTGGATTGGAGTCCCTCTGAGGTGGGGGGACTCCAATTCACTCACCCCACCCTGTAGCACAGGCTGGGGAACACCCAGAATGAGCTTCCTTTGCTCCCTTTCCCCTCTCCCATTCTGAAAACAGTGCTAGGGCTGGGAGAGAGAAGGGATGTTGCTAGGGGAAACTGTCTGCAGGAATCGCAGCCAGCAGCTGGATTCTCCAACCCCTGGGACCCAGCAGCAAACCTCTGTTGGGTCCAGGGGATCATTAGAGCATTTCCTGTGAAGTGCCACGAGTTACAATGGGGAGTTGCTCTTCTGTGTGCACCTAAACAGATGGTTCATCCAACAGGATGCAGTTTTACTTACTCTTTTCAACGTTAGGTTAAAGGATTCAGCATTGCTGTATTAATTACTATTGCCCTTCACAAGTTTGGAGCATGACATGGGCCTACTCTGTTTCATTTGTATATAGCTGATCTCATATTATAACTGAATGCTCACAGCCAGGCTTGCAAATACTTCAGGTAATTCTTTGATTGCTAAACCTCTTTTTTTAAATCCAATGGCTGTAAGATTGCTTTTAATGTATGTTTTGACTGTCGATTTCCCTGCCAGGGGTTCTACTATGAGTCATAGAATGGTGCCTGATCTACTATGTAAAGTAGACCACAGGAAGTAAAACCTAAAATATGAAGCAGTGACAAAAATGTGGTTAAAAGCACGGGTGGGGAGCAAGGAAAAAAATCTATCAGTATTAACATACAACTTGGAACTAAGAGTGAATTACTTCTTGCATAGTGTCCAGAATCCTTGACCTCTGAAGCTACTATCTTGGCTAATAAGATTATCACTACTTCAGTGGACTCTGTGTCCTGTATAAATAGATTCCAATACACAAGACAGAAGCCACAAGTCCTTCCAGTTTCCAGACAGAGAAATGAAATGCCACTCAGACTCTGGTCTGGTATCTAGTAGCATAAGTATAATTAGTTAATATCCAGTGTTTAGTTAGTAGTCGTCTACCTGTGGGAAAGATGAGGTAGAGAGAGAAGCATCTCTAAGATACAGAACAGAAGTGGAAACAATATTAAAAAACCTGACACTTAAAACCATAACCACAAGAAAGAAATTCTTAATAGCTGAAACAGTCACATTTCCTTACATCTGGAATTGTGTTAGTATATGTATGGATCATTCAACTATAAAAGCTGAATGAGAAAAGAACTAGAACACCCAGCCAGCCAGCATCTTAAAGGCAGCAACACATTAGCTGCATTACTAAAAAAGTGCAAATCTGACCTGTTTCTGACCTGTGAATTGTGTGACATCCTGCTGGCTGAAAGGGTTTCCATTGTTTAATGAAACTATCCTTGTGCTTCACAGGCAGACTTGCAGCTAGTCAGTGAGGTATGGTCAGGTTGAAAAACGTAAAGAGGAGATGGGGAATACCTAATAGATAGCCGGTATAAAAACCATCCATAATCAAAATAACATTGACTTTGAGATATGATACTTCTGTAATTTTTTTCTAAATTGATATCATTGTAGAATTAAAGGTATGCAAGATGTGTATTTTACAGTTAAATTTGAGCAGGAAATCTTTAGAGATGTCTTACCATGCTTCAGATGTAGGCAGCTGTCATTCTGGGGCCTGTACCTGTAGAAGATTGTTGTGCTTTAACAAATTTCCATTGAAGAGGGGTTTTTTTGCACATTCCAAATAAGTTTTTATGCTATAATTATTACAGGGATTTGTTTTCAGTTCTTTTTGTGGTTCTTATACCAGCCATTTTTGTTGGGAGAAGTTAATTTTTTCCCCTTTCTTTAAAAAAAAAAATAGAGGAAGAGAAGAGACCTCACTGATGCTTCGAGCCGACCTACTAGGCAGTTGTTAGTGTACAAAAATGTAAAGTATGATAACTTTTGTAGCTACTATCAAATTGTTAAGTGAAAGGTCTATTTCGTTTCCACTAAACCTACACAATATTTGACACATTCACTTATGTCAAAATCCAGATGAACATGAAAGAAACCAAAGTAAAAGCAAGACAATGATGTTGGCAATGGATACATTCATCTGAAGTTAATATATTTATGTTTTCTCAGGAAAAAATGCATATTTGACATATTTTTAAAAAAGGTGAAACAAAAATAAGTGTTAAAGGAAAACCACACTAGAGTGAAACTGCACATTTGTAAATATAAGCAAGTCACTTCTAACATACCTGATGCTGACTCCTGTAGCTTTTCTCTCTTCCTCTTCTTTTTCTTCCCCTAGAAAAGAGACAGTTTACTATACTATTATATACATTTTCTTCTGGCAGAGGTGATAGTAGAAATGAATACAACTGCACATCTGAATTGTATTGGCTCTCTGTTTTTTAAACATGGCCAAAAGAGGTTTTTATAGCAGTGATTCTCAACCAAGGTACCATGGCACACTATTATGTGTACAAACATGTTTCACAAGATCAACTCAAATTTCAAATAAGAATCCATGGTGTTAAAAATTCTGATATGTTGTCTTTGAGTTCTTTGCAACAGAAACACTGCTCTATTATTTTTCCATAGTTAAAAAATGAAGTGAAAACTAAGAGTCAGCATTTTCTAGGGGATGCCTCAAGTCTAAAAAAGGCTGAGAACCACTCGTATACACAGTTGCCTTCTTACTGGAACACTGCCCCAAGAAGTGGGAACCCTGGGAACCCTGAGGAGCAATGCTTCCTTTTGCCTGAAGGGTTTCAAACTGATGCCCTCCCACCTCCAAGGAGTACAGTCTCCACCAGACTAACGCCTAGTTTAGGATGGAGGCATGCTCCACTTCTCCCATTGCAATGGGGCCACTGTGCACTGGGTCAAACAAAAATGCAAGATTCACAGGGCCAGAAAGAGAAGAAGAGAGAGTGTGACTGTAACCACAAAGATGAGAGCAGGGTATTCTCCTGGGAGGGGCAGTCCTGGATTTTGATCTTTGCCCTAGGGCTACCTACAGTTAGAGATTACTTTGGGATCCTCCAGAATTACAAAGATATTAAATCCAAAGTAAAATTATAGTGAAAACTCAGCATAAAGGAGGAAACTAAAAAGCTATCCCCTAATTAAGAAATTTCACTACTGAAGGTGGTACTACCCTTCACGGAGGTTGCATTTTATTTACTTTGTTATATTTGATGGTATTAAATGGTGCCATGATCAAGAAAGGCAGGTACATCTTGCTCACATTAATGAAGAGACATATTGCCTACACTCCCTGCTTGCAATTTTGACACTTTAAATCAATTGATAGCAAGGGCTTGCTTGAAATAATGACTTCAAATGCAGTTTGTGTTTATGAGTGACAGAGTGAAATGCTGTTGTAAGCAAGCAAAGTGTTTGGACAAAGTGATTTGTAAACAGCCTACTTAGCTTTTGTAACCAAATTGTTAATTCAAGAACCTCAAAGCACTTTTGCAGACATTAGACCCTAAATGCCTTTTTGTGGTGGATATTCTGCCTATTTCACATGTAAACTAAGGCAAGCCTGTACCCTTACTTGCCCAGGGTCATGACTTTTTCCCTTTTTGCCACCAAATATAATGAATCTGGATACATCCAAGGAAGGATTTAGAGGGAAACAAAGCTCACACCTAATAGAGTAATTTTGTTAGCAATTTCCTCTTTCCAATGAGGATATTAATGTAAGTCAGGGTTGGGATTTTTTGTTTCAGGAATATCATGAGAGTGGGAAGACAGAAGGAACTAAAAAAGGTGCTTCAGGAAGATTGTCACTGTCAGTACTACAAATAACAAAGAATGCACTTGGGAAACACTCTTGACATTTCTGAAAGAGCTTGAACAAACCAAACCAACTAAAACAGAGGAGTCATTCTGAGACTGGATTATGTCGAACATTATTTTGTAAACTTCAGATGCTGGTGCATTTGCCAGCAGCCACCAGATTTAACAAATTCAACATTTTTTAGATTTTAGGTACTGGAGGAATGCTGTCTTAACTTTTAGTCTGATCACACAAGCAAAGTAATAACCCAAAAAGAAAACACTCAAATGATGGCTGCTCAAAGAGAATGACTGATAAAATGCTCTCTACTGAGCTGCTCTGATCATTGCCATCCCACCATACATAGTAAAAGGAAGAGGGACTGCGACAGTGTCCAAAAACATGCCATCCCACAAGATAAGTACACTGTCTGAAAATGTTGGTCTGTAACAAATTAAAGTGGGCACAAGTATAGAAGTAGATAAGAGATATTGATTGGTATATGGCATCTTGTCCTCCTATAATGTCCATCACTGGGTTGTAAAGAAGCTACTCCACAGATAAACAAGTCTCCAGGCCACCTGCTTTGAGTATAATGCCTTTAGGCTGTGGCCAAACTTGTAAAGTTCTTAAATTTACAAGATCATTAAAGAAAGACAATATATATATCCAACACTGTGCTTACGTAGGTTAACAAGAGAATTGCTAAAAAATAAGATGTTAGACCACCAGCCTACCACTTTAAAAGATAAACATAAATCATAAAGCTTGACTTCAGAAAGCATATGCCAACCAAAGATGTGTGGGAGCCAGGGGGAGAGGGGGGCACTTGGGGAGAGGTAACCATAATTGCAGTTCCTAAGTATGTGGTTGATTTTCAAGCAGGATAATGGAAATCCTCTTGCTTTTAAATACCTCTATTATACTACTTATTTATTTGCTTCTGGATGCACTTCAGTATAGGTCTGACATAGTTTGGGTATTGGAAACACAATCCTTATTTATCACATAACAGCTCATCAGCTAATTTACTTGTACTAGTGACTATTTCAATGGCCCCCTCTAGATATTCATGTAAAGGCATGATAGGATTTCATGCATGATCCACACAATAACAGTTGTGGGATCCAGCATCAGATCCTATTGTGCCTTATTGCTGGTGCAGGAGGGGCCCAGGAATACAATCCCGGGCTCCCCTTGCACCAGCATACTAGTAGCAAGCTGCCATGGCTGGGAGTCGTGTCAGCAGACAAGACTCATCCATGGCAGCCCGAGGACTGTTAGTTGACAGGACTCCCAGCCAGAGCAGCCTGTGGGACGGTGCCATGGATCTGAGTGCCATCAGCTGTGGGAGATACAGCCGCAGTAGTGCCTAGTGCAACCCTGGTGCTGAGAGAGCTGTCGGCTGATGGAGCTTCCAGCTGCCGGGGCATAGACCCTGTTACATATGCAAATGAAAACTGGATAGATACCAGCTATAAAAAAGTTATTACACATTTTCCAGCTCTAACTTTATAGCTGGATGGACCTTTAAGGCATAATAGTTCATTTGCACATGTAACTAGTCTAAATTAATTGTGCAATAAGCCAGGTAATGTGTAGAGGAGGTCAACTTCTGGGGAGTAAAGTACAAAAATGTCATGGCAGGCCCCAGACTGGAAATCACCCTGTTTTTTCCACCAGAGCATGGATCTGCTCACCTTTGGCATGCTATGAATTCCGTCGCTTCATTGGGATTTTGGCTGTGGTGACAGCAACAGGCAATATTTTATATTTACAGTTTGATGGGAGTAGGGAAGAGGGATGAGTCTGTATCTATTTGAAATTAACCCACTAATTCAAAATAAGTATCTGCACACTCACAAAGTCTGATGCGGCACTTAAAAAGCTGGAAACTCCAAAAACAAGAGTGCCCTTATCTGAAGTATCACTAACCACCAAGCATCTCAGCATAGCATTTTTGCCTCATGGCCAAACATGAACATTAGTACGCTCCTAGCTGGACTTGAACATAATGATGAAGGAGCCAGCAAACTAGGTGTGCTGCCATGGAGAGATGTATGGCAGTCCAATCGGATCTACTTTTGGAGCTGTCCAGACAGATCAACAGCATAAGATACCTAGTTTATTCATCTGTATTCACTCACCCATTGCTGTTTCTACTATACAAGACACCGTTACAGGTACTGCACGGCTTCCCTCCATCAACCTGTGGACAAGCGCTCAGCAGATCATACAACTACACAAGAAGCCTGAATGAGTTTCAGCTTGGAACACGCTTTGGAAATGAGAACTCTATGGTGAGATGCACAAACACTGTGATGCAAGAGAAGAGTCTACAAATAGGCAATACAGGCTAATCTCTGACTGCAGGTGGGGCTTAAGAAAGTAGCAAATGTGCTAACAAAAGTGGGAGTGGGCATCAGAGGGGGGGAAGTATTTGCTTTGGTGACTTTCAAATGGCTTCTGACAATACTTTCATTGCCAAGAGCGTTCCCCAAAGAGTCTAAGCTCACAAATAAATACCTGAAGACATAGGTACTTCCGGACCTGGGCCCTATTACTTTAGCATTCAAGTACCAAAACCACCATAAATGCAGCTATCCAGATTTTACTGAAGGAAAACTACAACTGAGAAACTAAGGCCTTGGACAAATGCTATATCTGTAGAGCTGTATATGCCCTTTGAAAATAGCAAGTGTATATATGCCCATACTCTGTGTAGTGTCACAAAATGGTACATCTGCTACAAAAAAGTTCCTGTGTCAAACAGGAACATCTCTGCAGCACTACATTTTGTAGTGCCACATATAACACAATGAGAGTTACATATAGAGCTACAGGCGGGCAATTTTTTGGTGCCCCCAACTTCCTACAGTGTTCCACTCTGCCTCCTCGCCCCAAGGGCTAGTTCCCTGACAGTCAGCAGTGAAGACAGCTGCAGCCCAGCCAGGACCTAGAGCTGCAGCTCTGCTTGCTGCCACAATCCATCACTGAGCCAGTGGTTTTGGCACAGAGAGCTGCTGCCACTGTAAGAGGGGTGAGAAGAGATGCCAAGAACCCAGAGTAGCAACTATCAAAGACATTCTGACCTCTCCCCTGCTGAGGAAGGGAGACTGGGAAGGCTGTCAGTGATCAGTCTTACTGAAAGACTCCTGTGGGGGCAGGGAGAGTGAAGAAGCAGTGCTTTATCACACCCTTGATAGTACACCACTGTGGCAACTTTGGCATGCCAGCCAGGGGGCCCCAAATATGTACACCCCCATAGGACTGTACTTTTGTAGTGCTACTAGGTGGTAAGACACTGCAATACTACAAATAAATGTGTCCCCCAAGCCTAAGAGCATTTGATATAAACAAACGATGACTGTTACCAAGTACAGAATGGAATGGAGCCCACATCTCAGGGTTGGATTCCTCTTTCTGGAGAATCACAGGATTTATGTTTTATCACACAACACACAAGCATGAGGCATTTGATCTTTTAGAACAACTACCAAGCACAGAGGTTTGTAAAACTCAGATGCCTCTTCAGAAATCAATGGGTGATGATAGTGGTAGGCTACATTTTTCAAGGCACTAAAATCTCAGCTTCCCACTGGGTTCCTGCAAAGCTCAATTCCATCTGAATATTTACTCACAAAACACAATGATAAGCCACCATGGATAAGGGCCTGATTTTGGCAAGCTGATCTTTCACCTATAGGAACAGTAACTTAACATGAAGTTTAAAACTACATCCAAGATGAGCATCTTATTATTAAACAGTGTAAATCCTGTCCTCTACTTTAGATGGTTTTCATCAGGTATAGCCATAGCAACACCCTTGCATGGTCCCTTTTGTTTGGGACTATTAAGAACTTTAGCATGCTTAGGCAAGAAAATTTATCTCTGTTAAATGTAAACATGGAACAAATATGAAACATGAAAAAAATATTAATAGGTTGGGGGACTCTTTGAGGGTTTTGTTTTATGTTTTGAAAAGAAAAGAAACCTGCCAAATTTTGTAGGCTTTATTTTTCCAAAGTATGAGCTATATTTGGGAAATGTGAAATTCGTTTTTGGAAAAAAAAGATCAGCTTCTATCACATGAAATATTAGATTTTCCTACAGGGAAGTAGTTACTCTTCTCAAATCTAATGAACACAAGATTTTATGAAGAACCAATGACCAAACACAAATGCAAGAAAATGTCAAGTTAAATTTGAAAAATATCATGATTTCAATATATCCATAGATAATGACATGGATCATCAGGTAGTTCATACGGTATTATCAGAAAATTCTTTACAGGTTGTGTATAGCTTGTTCTGTCATTCAGTTGCTGAATTCCATGCAAATAAATACATCAGAAAATTCTAAAATAAATCATTCTGTGTGTTAAATGAGAGGGAGCATTATCATTTGCAAAAGAAAATGAATCAATCTATGACTACAGTTTCTAAATCTTGAAGTGCAAGAGCACTGAACTTTACCTCTAAGTAAAGATTTTCACAGAAGCTTTGAGAACTTTGGGCACTAAAAATTCCTTAGTAAAAATAAAAACGAATTAATACCTTGAAAATCCCCGATTTATTTCTACACCTCCCCATCCAACAACAACATTCTAGTTCGTAAATATGAGTGAATAGTGTTAATGCAATAAGAGATTAGGATTCTCCTCATAGACAAATACATATACGGCTAACATTGCAGATCCCCTAGACTGTCTTTACTTCCTGAGTGTTTCCCAATTTAAAAAAAAAAATATTCAGGTAAAGGAAACAAATAGTTGAAAAGACCCATCAAGCAAGTGGCTTACATAGTTGTCTCTTGCAGACCAGCCTGGATAAAGCTGCATGTGTAGCTGCCTTTCTTTACGAGCTAGTTCATAATATTTAGCTTGTTCTTCACGGGAGAGAGCGTGCCACTGCAAATAAAATAAACACAGTATTAAACCAGGAAATGCCTCATACCCAAGAAATGCATGTCATGAACAAGTGTTTCTGTGACCTTTATTTTATCCTTTCCCATCGCAAAGAAGTAATTTGCTAGTGATTATGAACACCTGCATTTCCTAACCAGTTTTTGGGCACTTTGTCAGCATTACAACTGCCAACTGCCTGGAGCTAGACAAAAACATTATTTATAGAACTACAGGACTCTCCAAGTGATCTACTCATAAAGCCATGTTCTCTGACCATCACATAAAAAGCTCTGTTTTATTATGGCCACTGAGGCCAAAGGTGTCTTCATGTGATCATCTCCTTTCCACGTGTTTATGAAAACACACAAGTGTTCCTCTAGTCTCTCAATTCTAATGTAACGCCCGGTAAATGAACTGCAGAATGAACAGTGCAGGGGCTCCCTTTCTGTTTGGTTAGCATCATGCACAATTCTTTTATAAGCCATTTTACGGTCATCAATGGCAAGGCAGTCCAGACAGCCAAAGTACACACTCACAGTCCTGCACTGCAACTCTGAGTGTGACCTAATGTACTCCCCGATTGCCCCTCTGTATATGTCAAGCCTTGATCCAGCTTTACCCTGACTCTGCCCCTACATGCACTAGGAGAAACAGCAATGCAAATGTTTCTGACACCAGAAGACCCTTTCTTTACACATACTTCACTTTGAAGGCCAAAGAAAGATGCTTTGCTCTCTTAACCACTTTTAAAATATTGAAACTGAATTGTCAAAGTGGCAACATGAACTACCTAAGTCAGTATCTGGCAATTTTGTACTTGCTGCTGCACCTATGGCAACATTAACTGAAGAGTTTGCGGGGGGGAGTATTTTATGTCTGCTGAGTTAAGTTTAGGTTGCTATACATAGCTATTTTCTTGTTGGTTTAAATTTCTCACACAATATAGGAGAAAATTTGAAACATGAAAAAGCTATAGGCAGGTAACTAAAACTACTTTTAGCAGATAACTAATATGTTGGGTCAGTCTCATCTCCTTACTGCCTTATTTGTGACCCTCACATCTAACACAAACTAAGTGTTTACTATGTTTTCACTTGACACATTTTATTATGCAACTAACCATAACACATGCAACTTATTTACTGCTTTCTGCCATGCTCTGACCAAGACATTGGAATACAACAGAGCATAAAACATTCTAGAGGAACTAGCGTTCAATGTCTCTTCATATAAGCAAGAATTATGGCAACCCAGTAAAAGAAAAGTAACATCTGAAGAACAAATTGCACACAAAGAATGCGATTCAAGGAGCAGGTAGATCCAACTAAGGCAGCCAGCTTTCACTAGACCAAGAGGCTAAGCTAGAAAGGTCAGCCTGCTTCAGCTAGCTGCCAGTTTAGGCATTTCTGCTCCAGTGCACCTGAAGTGAAAATGTTTAAGAAAATAAGAGAATGGCCACATTTTCTGGAGATTATGCAGTTGAAAGCAAAATGATGCATTGAAACTAGCTGTCTAACCACAGGCTGGAAGGTGAAAATACTTTCTGATAAGGGAAATCTATCTTTCTCATCGAGACTTCATAGAAAGTTTACAGGTTGTTTGGAGAAGTGCACCTGCAGGGCCATGAGAAGTTTCATTTTATTCCCTAGATCAAGGTCACATGGCTGCTTCTGATGTGGCACTGCTGAATGAGTTCAATTTCTCACAGACTTAATGGCTCATCAGTCAAACTCCTATGCTAACCAACAACAAAAATGAGATTTCCAAATCCTGCGTAAAATTTGCTTACATAAATACTGAGATGCCTTTGAAACCAAAGGTTCATATTTCTTGGAGCTTAGGTATTCACTGTTCAAATTAGAGATGTGTTTACTATTATTAAGATAAATGATTAAATTCATAGCAAGGTCATTTAGAGTCAAGGATGCAAATGTAGTCTGAACGAGACCCTCATTTGTGGAAATTGTATTAAGTGTGGAGTCAGCAGTAAAGGGACAACTATAGCCTAGATATACAGGTGTTATTGCTGCATTTCTTGGCTTTTACAGGCATAAGACAATGAGCTACATTTTATCTCCACGTTATCTTATGCATTTTTGTTTTTATTGAGAAAAAATATTGTTAGGAGCCATTATGCACCTAAGTGGCCTTGTTATGAGCTAATTCTGAACAAGTGACCATAAACCCAAAGGTTTTATTAGATTTGGCAGTTTTTCATGGGGATTTGTTGCATATTCTTGTGGGGGATGCAGCTGTTAACAGTTTTTACCAACTCCCACACAAGTTACCTATTTAAAATCTAGACCTTGGGGAGGCTCCAGGAACAGGAACTCTTTTCATTTGCAGGTAGCGTTCTCTCACGGGGGTCATGGTTCCTACCATACTATTTGGCACCTTACATGTTTTTTCAGTTCACAGACTAGAAGCTCTCTAGATGAGGAATGATGCCCAACTCTAAGTGGCACACGCAAAGAAATTATGACAGTGGGGTGTAAAGAAATTTAGGACAGACAGTAAACAGGTCATGTAGATAAACAAGGTGAGCATACAGTCGTTTTTGGGCCATTAATTAGAAAGTAATCAAAAGCTAAATAAATTTGTTCTGATGGCATCATTTGTCATCATTCTTACTGGCATCACTGCAAGTCTGCTGCACGTTATGCTAACCACAGCCTGGGCAAAGGTGCTGAGGCATGTGAGAGGAAGATGATAATACCAGGGCATCAAGGGTATGACTGGAGAGGTCATGAAGGGTATGACTCAAGAATGACTGGAGAAGATATTAATGAATGCTATCAGCAGGGCTGTGAACATAGTCACAAGAAACTTGTGTTTGATATGATCAGAAAGGAGTTGTCAGTCAAGTGATTCAAAGATAGAACAGAAAGAAGGAAGTGATTTTCAATGCAAGCCACTTCTGATATTTTGGTAATTGCATTTCATGTGCATCCTGTTCCCTCTGAATGTCCATTGAGATGATTAGAAAAATAGGTTATAGGAGTCAAAAAAGGACTGGCGTATGTCTCCTGTTAACCCCCTGCCCCCCCAATTCCAGTTGGGGAAGCAAGTCTTCAGACTTGAATAGAATGATACGTCTTCCCTGGTTAAGCTTGAACAAGATTTTCATTTTAAAAGATGAATTAGTCTGGGTGCCCTAAAATCCACATGCTTATTTGTCCACAAAATTGCTATGCTGCATAGGAATATTAGGCAGTGTTGGTGGTCCACAGTAGGAAGCCATTTAAACAGCTGATTCCAAAGACGCAACATCCTTAAAAACAGCATTTTACATAATCACCTCATTCTTCTAATTTTGGGGAGTCACACCTTGGATAGAATCCTCCTTCAATATTAAATCAGTCAGTCACTAGGCATTTACCTCAGGCTAGTTTCCCTTTGAGGAAGGAAGGCTGCAAAAGTTAAAATAGAAAATCTGCAACTCCAGGTGTGTCAAACTGATCAGCCTTATAAAGAGTGGAATTCACATGAGCAGCAAGGCTGTCCTTCTTGAAGCAAGTAAGTTTCCAAGCAGACATTTGAGCCTCTCACAGTGACATTCTGGGGTTCTTGAACCAATATTCATACGCTGTAAGTTTGAAAACTGCTCTTCGCAGTCTTCAGTATCCATCTTGAACACTTCCCATCCATTCTGTTGGAGTTCCTTTTGGAAAGTTTGCCCCACAACCAAAAATTTTAGTTGAAGATTTACAATATTTTAAAATATTCTAGTACAATTGATATCCATACATGGATTTTGGTAATCATGGAAATGTGCACTGACTAAACAGAGGAAAGATGAAAGACTCTAGTAGACAAGATAGTGTAGTCCTATTTTCTGAACAATAAAACAGTGCAAACGAAGAAAAAAAGTCAGGCACTGGGTGTCCCCGCCCCCCATCAAGGAATTAGCAATTCATCTAACGTAGGCTCCCTAATAACATTCACATTTTTAAGTGTAGTTTGTCCAAGGGATGTAAGAAGAGCTGATAAAGAGGTTTTAACTTGCAGTAGAGGGCTGGGGCCTATCAGAACATTGTCTTCTCAACCAAATACTATAATTTATCTCCCTGATTCAGGCTGGGCTGGGCACAACAGTGGTGGTAGTGGAAGAGGCATCCCATTCATTGCCCTGTCTCAGGGCAAAAAGTGGAGGACATACCTCACATAAATGTGGAGTGGAAATAAATCCTTCCTCCCATAAGTGTCAGTATCTGGGAGGTCCCACGTACCCTCAAGGTATGAACTAGAAAATTAAAACGCTAATTTTAGAGACGGAAAATGAGAACATATGAGCTAAACGGAGCAGCTTAGAGCTACTGATCGAGGCTGTGTTCATCTCCAGGGGGTGCTCTTGTTCAGCCAACATCATACAGCAATGAACAGGACATTTCACACCTCCACACTCAGCTCTATCATGTTCTGATGCCTGTGGACTGGCAGACAGGGCTGAGTTAGTGACGGTGACTGGACTTGAATGAGTGGGTTTGGAGAAGACTCAGAATGTATAAGGTATGTGGAGAAATTAATACACTGAGTATGGAGCTAAAATAAGAGAAGTTAAGTAGTAATGGTAGAATTTAGCTATGCAGAAAAATGTCTTGAAACATAGAAAATTACTGGGTGGAAAGGAGGACTTCATCTGTCCCCAAAAAAAGTTGCAAAGGTTTCCATCCATCCCCAAAATATATCACTTTATTCCTTTGTCTAACCCTTCCCCAAAAGTGTCTAAGAACTTCATGCTAGTCCCTGAAAACCCTCCCCAGATTTTCAGCCAGTGTGTCCAGTGTTAATACCTGCCTTTTTCAAAGTGGACTGAGAAGGGAGAACTGGATGGTAGAGAAACTGGTATCAGTGAAGGGACTGTCAAAAAGCTATGGCAGATTAATCATTGCCAATGGGTAGAGCTGAACCGTAGCATATGAGGATGCCCTCCATTTAAAGAAGAATAAGCCAAGGAAATTAGATAATGAAATAACCTTATTAATGAGGAACTGCCCCTTGTTTCATACCTTTCAGCATGAAGAGATAAATTAAATGTCAAACCGTGAAAACAGGAAGAATGAAGGTATATGCCAACCCTTCTTTGGGAATACATATTGACTGCTTGTAAACAACCTTCCACAAAGGGGTCCATATCTGTTTGTCCTGCAGATGCTAACACAATATAAGTGATTCTAATAATACATAGTGCCTAATGAGAAGAATATTGGGGGGGGGGGGGG